CATATTTGGATTTAGCTTGGTCTAAAATGCTGAGCAAAACAAAACTCCCACCCCCACCAGCACTGGCAAGGCAGGCCACAGCACATAAATAGAGAGCAAACCCCATCCCATTTTAGCACTTGTTACCTAGCCGTGTAATGAAACGTTTGCAAGAAAAGAACCAAGCTCAGAGAACCCCAAGGACTCCACTATATATGGATGGCTTGAGGTTGGGAAAGTTATCTTACAACTACCACTTTTTCTCGGCTTCAGTCTCCCTTCCCTGCCCATCATCTGCTGTATGGTGGGAATAGTCCTAGACTTCATTACAGGATAATTAGAAAGGTCATAGAAGCTCTTGAGTAACCTAAAATATTAATCAATGTATTAACGAACTTACTAGACCTAGTTCTTCCTGCCAATGTGAAATGATTGATGCAGTCAAAGTACAGGTTGCTCTTCTTTCTCTTCATTCATGCCATACTAGGAAATTGCTGAGTGAAATGTGCTTTTCTCATCCCCATTGCCACTGACAGTTTACTTTTCTCAGCCAAAGCCACCACACTGCAGGTGTCAGAATTTCATAAATAAAAGAGGTTTTGCATTAGGTTTGTTACAGATTTGTGGTAAGATATTGAGTGAGCCAACTGGAGCAACCCTCTCCCTCTCCTGAGCACAGCAGAGACAGTACAGGTCCTTATGAGGAATGATCACAAATGGAGAGAAAAAGAAAAGCAAGAGACTCCATTTCCATAATAATGGGAGGAATCATGATGAACAGTTCATCAAATGCATTGCTTTACTAAACACACTTCACAAATTATAGCTGGAGTATTTGGTAAAGTTGAGATAATGTGATTTTATCCCATGTATTTTCATTGTGAATAGGTAGCAGTGGAGCATGCAAGCATTGGCCATCCCCATCACAGAAAGGAAAATTGGATTTCTTTTAGCATGGAGAGAAAAAAAATTACATATCACTTCACAAATGACACAAGCAAGAAGGGTAATCACTGTATGAAAACAAAATTACACAATCCTAAACCAATTCTCAATGTTTATGACTGAATATGAATTTAGAATTTTCATGGGTGAAAATCAATCAATGGAAAATGTTGCTTTTCTCCACTGTTCTCTTCCATTCTCTTACTTGTGGTGGTACAAAAAGTCAGTTTCTTATCTACGTCGTAGTTGTTGGTGATTGCACACCAGAGCTTCCCATCTCTCCGTCCATCTCTTGTACAGCTGTTGTACTTCTTACCATTATAGGTGAATGGAAAGACACATTTGGGAAAGTCTGGCCCTGCATTGAGGAAAAACAAAATGGAAAGAGTAGGAAGAAAAAGAAAGGTGAAGAAGCAAAATTCAAGAGAGAGATGTGCAAAGTGTAGAACTAATGAAAATAAAAGTGTGTTTGTTGTGTAGAAGTGCCTTCCATCTGTTAGCTCTAGAACCTTTACTACTCAGATTTTTCAAAGATGGGCCAACCAAAACATAATCATTGCTCTTTTCATACCTGTGTCATTGCAGCACACCCATTTTTTATCCTCGTCATAGTTGCTAGTAGTGGCACACCACTTCTTCCCATCCCTCATGCCATCACTGATGCATGTGTTGTAGGAATTGCCATTGTAAATGAATGGGAAAACACAAGTTGGACCCTCTATCTTTGGATCTGGTGCTAGATTTTAAAATAAAAAGACAACAGCTGAAAAAAATACTCACTAGATTTGAAGGAGTAACATAAAATTGTGAATGTCATGTAGGGAAAATATCAAGCAATCAAAAACCCAAATTCTGAAGGAGAGATGACACCTAATGTTGCTGCAATTTCAACTGTCTGATAGTTGGGCCAGAAATACATTGATTTCAGCTTTCCAACACTGTTAGTATCTTTGGAACAGAGATGTTTCCTAAGGGATCAGAATCCTTGAATGGCAGTGCTTCTAGTCTCCCCTTACATTTCCCAAACAAAATGCATGCATTTTGGAGAAGAAGTAAAAGGTAAGAGTCAACAAAGAAAGTTCTCATCAGGAGAAACCCTGTAGGCCTCTCTTGCAAAGAGGTTCAGAAAGTTATTTCTCACTTAGAATCATGAAGTGTATATTTTGCTAATTAGAGAATCAGCCCTTCATCCTAAATTAGCTGTCCCATCCTGTACCTTCTAATATGTTGGGGTTCCACTCAAATAATTCACTTTGACTTTCTTGAAGATTTTGTGAGTTAAAAACAAGAACATTAGAAATGCACTATATTTGTTAGTTTTGCCTCTTTATCCCAACCTTTTTGTTCCTCCCCACTCATCCACAAGGGCTGTTACTACCAATTATCCTGTGAGAAGGTTCTCTGAAGAGAGAGAAATCAGGTAAAGACTACCCCAAAACCTGCTTTAATTGGATTCTTAAGTATTTAATAAAGGTATATCCTGCTTTCACTTAGCAGCTCAAAGCATGTATGTAGCACTCCCGCCACTTATTTTTCTCCACAACAATCCTATAAGACTTTGGGTGAGTCATTCTCTTTCAGTCCAGCCTAAGTCACCCAGGGAAGTTCCATGGCTGATGATGATCTAGAACATAGTCTCCCTACTCCTAGCCCAACATTTTAACCACTACACTCACTGGCTCTTAAAACACAAACCCAGGGTCATTGCCACCAACTGTCCTAAGGGATAGATTCAAGAAGTTATTTTTTAATTATTTTAAAAGTATGATTGCATTTCTATTTATGATAGTTGATGTTGCCCACAAGTTGGTGTTATACAGTTTGTATCCAGATAACTGGTTGTTGTTGTTGTTGTTAGTAGTAGTAGTATTTTACTGATGATGATGATGATGCTGTTGTCCTACCTGTGATATTACAGTATTTCCATTTCTTATCTACATCATAGTTGCTAGTGGTTGCACACCAGCATCTTCCATCACTCATGCCATCTGCAGTACATGTTGTATATAATTTCTCTTTGTAGATGAATGGGAAGATACATGTTGGATCTTCAACATTTGGATCTGGCCCTGATGAAAAAAGTTCATAAAAATATTTGAAACACAAACAAAGGATACCCTTGTTTTATTATATTCCTCATACAAAGGACATGGCCGCAGACTATACGCATGCCTTTCTTGAAGGGAAATAGACATAACCCCCAACTGGAATGTACCCCATCACTCGCAAAAATGGCTTGCTTTGATGGCCATCTAGGCCTGCCCTATTGTTCTCCTATCTGGTCTTCAAAAACACCACAGTATGTTCCAGAATACCATTATCTAGGAAGGAAGTAGGTTTCAAAGGAACCCTAGCCCAGGAAACTTATCCATTTTCCTTGGAAAAACAAAACAAAACATGTCTTCCTTTCTCAAACTCAGCTAATGGGTGAATAGGAAGGGGAAAACTGCATCATATTTGTTAACAGAATAATACATAGACACAAACAGCATTTATACAGACATCCTTCTAAACCAGGGGTAAGCTAGCTGACATCCTCCAGACATTCTGGGTTCCAGTTCGCACAATCTCTTACTATTAGTCATTAATCAAGGTGTGAGAATGATGGTAGGTGAAATCCAAAATATTTGGAGGACATCAGGTTGCCTACTCCTACCTTAAGCCCTATCATGTGAAACAGATATGGTTATAGTTCCTGTATACTGCCCTAACATTTCTTTCTCCATTTCCTATACCCCAAAAATACCAGAATCTTTCCAAGAGGAATCTACGGAATCAGAGACTAGAATTTCTTTGGCAAAATCTCACCTAGTGAGGGAGAAGCTTGACCTATACACACCCTGCCACTTTTGCCAGTGGAATGAAATTTAATCCATTTCGCTTGAGATTACCTGATTCCTCTGGACAGAACCTCCATATTTTGTCAATATCATAGTTACTGCTGGTGGCGCACCAGAACCTTCCATCACTCCGGCCATTTGTGGTGCAGCTGATGTAAACCTGATTCTTGAAGATAAATGGAAAGACACAAGGTAGACTTTCCACATTCTCATCAGGCCCTGATAGTAGGAAAGAAGAATTCTTAATTATTACAAAACTCCCTCCAACTTAATATTTGCTTTTTCTCAGAGGTTACTTAACTCTTCTTCTTTTAGAGTTTTAATTACAGTTGCTTTACCCAACATGGTACCCTACAGAAACTGGACTAGATCAAGGTCATGCAACTTCCCTCAGCTCAAGGCCCACACTTGTACAGCGTATTAAGAACTGCACTCCAAAGAAGGACAAAGCCAGAGCCTATTATGTGAGGGGACTTCAGATACATAAGTATTTGTAATACTGTAAATATCTGCAAAGTTTAAGACACCCAGTTTATCCATTAGAACCTCCTATATGCAAAACACAACCATAAAATAGGTGCTGCTGAGTGCATTTTTTGCATTCCTGCCCAGACAGTAATTTAGCTAATCACATGAGGAAATTATGTGTTCTCCTAGAAAGAAGGATTGCAAAGGATTACGATGTTGCACTTCTGAATGCTAATATCCCTGTTACACAGGAAGCCTGAGCAATTTAGTATAGTATATAGTATTCAGACATCCTAGATTAACATACAAGTTAGTGCTGATTTTTGTACTTTTTGAATATTCCAACGCATTTTTACTTTAAAAAAATCAAAATGTTCTTTCAAAATGCATATTCGAAAGAAAAATTGTATCAACTGCATTTTGAAGTAAAAACTTCTGTTCTAAAATGCACTTTTAAATATTTATTTATTTATTTATTTATTTATTTATTTATTTATTTATTTATTTATTTATTTA